ATTTATAGATCCAGATCCATGCAGTGTTACCTACTTAGGTGTTTGAGCGTGATTACTGTAAACGAAAACACCACCTATTAAGGTATTATGTTAGCAAGAAATAGGATGAAGCATTCACTTGCAGGCAGAAGGAATTTAATTTGTAATAGTGAATCTAATGTCCAATTTATGATTTAAATGATTTCTCTTGGCAGTGTTTAAATTCTACATAAAGATCGGCAGCACTATTCATGAATCTAACAGGAGCATTTGTAATGTATGGCTGTCAAAGAAAACATGGCCAAAGTGGCAACTCATGCCCACGTTAAAGGGACACTCCGGACATGAATACAACTTTGATAAGTTATACTCTGATTGATATGTCATTTTAGCCACACACCCTTACTCCAGAAAAAAAGACTTATACACACTGCTCAGCCTCTGGCAGCACTGAATGTATCTGAACTACAAACTAACCTCCATTAGAGGGAGACAACACCAGGCAGACCTATAGTAAGCAGTGGGCCGTCTTTAATATTGAATGGACCCTGGGCAAGCATTTGCTTGGACCCCCTAAACCCTCCCCCCACCAACTCACTGGCATGCAATCACATCCTACACCCCACACCCCAATGCCATGGCAGTACTAAAGTAGAGAGCCCTGGGCAATAATTTTTTGCGCCCCCCTATTGCAAGGGTGGCTAAAAGGTAAATGCTTTGACAGCTGGGGCTCTACATTGTCTCATGCTTGCAGGGTTGTATTATGCACTGAGCAGTGTCTGTGTGTTTGAATGTAATGTGTGTGTGTGGGGGGGGAAGGAGGATTTGTAGTATGTTTGTGTAAATATAGGAGTATGCTTGTATGTGGTGTTGGTGTTTGAATGCAAACATTTGTGTTGATTTTTGAATGCAATATTATGATGTTTAACAGAGAGGTATTTTTGTATGTAGTGTTAACGTTTCAATGAAGGAGTGTGCTTGTATATAGTGTTGAAGTTTGAATGCTGGGGTGTATTGGTGTGTAGTGTTAGTGTTTAAATGCTGAGATGTATGCACATATCCACCTACACAGCCACACCCACACACACACTCTAAAACACACGCAGATACATGCAGATATACAGACACATATACACAGACTGACACAGGTACACACACTGACGCATGCAGATACTCTCACACACACTGAAACACGTACCCTTACAGATACACACACTGAAACACACACATACTGACAACATACATATACTGACACACATACAGATACTCACACATATACTGACAGACATACTGACACACACACAGACACATATACTGACACATGAACTGACACACACACTGACAGGCATACTGACACACATTGACAGGCATACTGACACACACACACTGACAGGCATACTGACACACACACACATATGCAGTATTTACAATTGGTCACCTTCCAGGTTCTTACCTTTAATTAGAGGTTGGTTTTCCTGGGATCCAGTGGCACGCTGAGGCAGTTGGGGGTTAGGCTCTTGCATTACTGGCCTGGCCCACTCCTCACTACCTTCCTCCTCCCATGCGGCTCTGATCTCTGTGAGAGGAACTGACCCGCGGCTGTCACTTCCAGACGGGTGCCAAAAAAGAGGCCCGGTCGCGCTGTTAAAACGCCACAGCGCTAGACCAGGCCCCTGCTGACACATGCCCACATGGTGGTACTCCTTAGTGTGCGGGCCGGTGCTAGGGCCACGGGGGCTGCTCAAATAAATTGCGGGCAATGGGGCTCACGGAGCAACTGCTCTGGGGCCCCTCAGGAGTAACTGAGCCCAGGGCAGATGCCCCGTTTGCCCAGATAGTAAAGACGCCCGTGATAGTAAGGATATCACTACCTGCTTGTAGTTTCTCTGACTATCGGCAGCCAGGTTTTGAATTAACGGCAGCTTACTTAGCGTTGTTGGGACAGAGCCTGTCTTTCTGGCATGAGGGGGTGTGGCTAATAAGGCAGGCTTATTGTGCAGTGTTCTACAAAGCATTTTTTTCTGTGCAAAAACTATAGAGTTGAGCATGCAAATAAATAAATGAGGCCAAAATCTATCAAATGCATTAAAGTTGTATTGGATTGTTCCTTTAAATTCCCCTTACTAGTCCCATGCATATCTTTAACAGAACATAAAGAGAATACCTTAAGGCCATACTGCTGGCTTGTCTTAATGTCTAAGATGTTGGATGGAAAGGGACATGGACTGCATGCTGTTGTTTAGATTGCGTGATAATCTTGCATGCGAACATTAGAAAATCTTAGTAATGTATCATGGTGTAATCTACTGGTCATTTCTGCTTATTGTATTCCAATCTAGACTGCAACAGTAAAGAGACCCACTGCATGCTTTGTTTGAATTAATCTTCTGTTCGTTCTAATGCAGTGATGGCTAACCTTGACACTGAAGATCTCTGTGAACTTTTCTCAGGACGCTCAGTCAGCCTTCAGATCTTGATGTTGGCTGAGGATCGTGGTACATGGAGTTCACTGAAATCTGCAGCATTAAGGCTTATAGTGACTGATGCAAGGTGTGCCCTGGGATTTAGCTCTCTGTGGTTGTCTGGGACCATCTTTGACCAAGCTTGAAACTTCTGCCATACCCTGTGTAGCACTCAGTTGTGAGTTTTCTCACAGGCCGCATAGTGAGGCCCTCTGATTTGACATCTGAAACTCCACGCAGCATTTACATATATGTAAAGGGATGCTTCTGAATCCTGTAGAGTTGAATGGCAATTTAACTTAATACGTTTGGATACCTGGCAGATCAGTTAAGCAGCTGTATACCAACATGTTGCAGAACAATGCCAAACAGCATCCACTTAACGCTGAACTCTGCATGGCCAAATCTCCCCACCGACTCAACTCAGTTTACATTCCGAGCTCAGCCAAACTTGTGTATATGAGAACCAAGACTAACAAATGTCAACTTGGCAATGGATTCAGGGTATTCTATGCTAGTGAATGAAGCCCAAGGAGTCTTTAATAAATTGTCAGAACTGCACAAAATCTGAAAGTTTACACCAGGAGAGTCTAAAATGGTGACCTCATAGCTACAACTCCCACTCTAGTGCGTACAGCCTGTGCTGTACCTTTTATTAGTGTGGTTAAAGTGGATTTATTTCTGCCGTATTGGTCCTAATCAGTGGTGAGGGGATCTGTCTTGACGTTATTTTCATGTTTACTCCTCTCCACAAATTTATTTTACCCTACTGATGGAAGTGAATGTGTTCTGGTAGTTTCAGAAATGAGATGGAGGGAGAAAATAATTCAGCATTCATATGGAGGCTAGTAGCGACAGAAGTATTACACTATTTAAAAAAAATTAAAAAGTAAAACATGGGCAGTTTGTTAAACTAGATTACCTGTACCACAACTCTAAAAGGTGATATATGAAAGGTAATCAGACCACCTAACATTGGACCTTCCACGACTGAGACATATATAAATTGTTAGGGCTTTAGGAGCCCATCTTCTATAACTGTATGATTGGAACCTTGTGCAGTCAGCCAATTCCTCCTTATTGACCCTGTTTGAAACAAAGTCTACAGTGAGAACTTGTCACACATTGTTTTCATGCCTGCTCTAATCCTTGCCTCTGATTGGTGCTGCTGGCCAGCACTTGTCAAATAAGACCTTTTTAGGCAAGGAGAGGAGATTCAGACAGACAAGTTAGCTAACATTCCTTGCACTTGTTTGAGTCCCGGGCTAAGATGCTTCAAGACATTAAAGAGTTTTAGTCCTGTTATGTAGGAAAGTAGTATGTACTTTGTGGTGTTACTAGTTACTGCATCTGTAGTAATAATGTTTCAAATATGGAAACTTAGTGTTGTAAACCGTATGTGTTGCATGGCACTTAAGAAAAAAATAAAACAAATAATAACTGTTACCGAGTTATGTTTTTATTATGGACCTAAACAGATCCCTTTGAGGCATTTTTTTTCTTTTCAATCTACCAAACTGACTCAATTCAATTATTAAATTAATATTTGCATCCGTGAACCCATCTTGCCAACCTGTAGCTATCGAAGGGTTTTGCACTGTAACAAGACAGGGAGTCACAAACTGGCTGTCGCTTTTACATCGGGGTGATAGTGTAATCTTTTAAGTATTCCATCTGCAGACTCTAGGTGAGGCATGGACTACATTAGAATGCAGTCACATAGGCAATATGCTGCACTGATGTGTAGCCAAACAAACAGGACATGCTTGTCCTGTTCATCTGGCTACAAACCAATGTAAAATATCATGTCTGTTTGTATAATATTGTAGATCATGCATCTAAGTAAATACCCGTTTTTACAGCATATCTTGGTTTACCTTTACTTTGTTTGGTGTGGCTATATTTGTGTACACTTTGTTTAGAAACATCACTCATCTGACTAAAGATCATGCAAGTAATCTAGTGCTTATTGAATATGTTTCTAAACAAAGAAAATTGCCCTCATAGAGAAATGGTAAAGAGGTTCATTCAAAAGGGCTATTTACTTACATGTTTGTGTTTCAAAATTATACACAAATGGCTATATTACATTCAGTCTTTTATTTTCAATAATAAGAGAGATGATTATACTGTAATGCTGGTTGTGTTCATTACCAGAGCGTGGAAACAGAAATTGGTGCAATATATAGCCACCCCATGAAACCAGTACCATATAACATAGCTTGCTGTCTGTACAGAATGAAATACTATTTTTATGCCCAATTAATATTTTATATTTGCATAGCAGTTTTGAGCATTTTAATAGTTATATTTGTAAATAATGATTGGCATGATTACTTTATAACCATATAATTATACTTATCAGAGATCAAATGCCCTCTCTGTAACGTGTAATAGTACCAATCACACTGCCCAATAGCTGACCTTGCTTGCATTTGGAGACCCACAAGTTGAGGTCCACAGTGGAACAGCAAAGTTAGGTAGAGTCTCCAGACGTTACTTGTTTTTTAAATTAAATTTTGATGACCATCAAAATGCAAAGTTGCTTAAGGACTAAATGCTCCATCATAAAGGTCTCATGCTAGCAGAATGGAAAGCTTATTTCATATAACTGGCTCTATATTGCCTTGCAGAGTTGATTGTTGATTTTCAAATAGGATCCTGGAAAAAAAAAAAACTGATTTGTATGATGGTATAGACCCAGCATTATTGTTGATATATTTGACACTGACTTGTAATGTGTTTTGTTAAACAGCGAGTGAAGAAATGAACTGCAGATTTCCTATTTTCCATTAACTACGGGATATTATTGCCATTACTCCCAGCCAGCCAGATGCAGTAAACTGGCTGGCAATCTTGACAGCAGCTGGAAGAGCAGAGTTTGCTTATCCCTAACAACACCGCAGGTCATAAATTCTGGGTCGGTTTCCCCAACTGATAAATGTAATGCTTTCTCTGCAGTATAATTGGCAAAACTTTGTATCAGATGACGATCTGCTTTCTGTGAGAATTACAGAGTGTGACATGAGGAATGAACTTCATTATATTCATAGCCGCTGTAGACTGTGATCACATTGTAGCTTTATTTATTAGCCCCTCAGGTCATTTCCCATTACACTGCCTGCTACACACTCTCCCTGAGCTCTAATTGTTTGATGTCTGATGTATTGCTTGTATTAAGCTCCCTCAGTCACAATGCACACACCAGCATCTTATCCAGCCGTGGTCATTGCTGTAATTAAATACATGACCTTGATCCCACTGCATTGTATTATGGGATCTCACATATAAACTGAGTAGATATTAATTTAACAAGAGCAGGCCTTTTTATACAGACTGCTATAGATTAGCCTAATGAGTAGGAATTGGAAATTATTAATTAGGAATTACCTAGTGCTCTGCCTACCAATCTCTGTGTATGACTCCATCAGCGATGCCTAAACTTCATACCATACCATCTCTTTAGGCTAGCCGAGCATCATGGGAAATGTTCACAAACTGAAGCTAGAATACTGATGGCTAAGCTTGATGCTACAAAGGCTGTGTGCAAGCTTCCTAAGCCATAAGCATTATGAGAAATGAAGTAAAACATCTGTAGGAAAGCTTTGCCATCAGTGATTTGCATACTATGCCAGGCATGATGCCCTTACACTAGGATTTCAATATAAAATACTACATTGGTTGACTTGCCACTGCATTCAGTATTTACAGTTATGCCTATTTACCAACAAATATATTAACCTGGATATCATTATGTCGAAGTGTTCAGCATTGTGTTTTTTTTTTTTATTATATTCATTCTTGTATACTGTCTGTAAATTGCTAGCCAACTGGATTGGAACAGTAAATGGCAGCATTTAACCAGATAATACTGTTCCACTTCCTACATACTAACACTAGGTGGCAGTATGCAGCTACACATATACAACCTGGAGTGACAGGTTCAGTTCAGAGAGAAGTCTTGATTTATGGATTTCTTGCCACTGTAATTTTAGATAGATCGGAAATCACTAATAACCATGTATGTTAGATATAGTCAAGCAAAGCATATAGGGGTTAATACACTAATCTTAGTTTTAGCCTATCCTGGCCCCAGTAGAGGGAGTTATCTGCTCTTCATTCTAACTGATTTGTCTTTAGCAAAGATCTCAGGAGCTAAATTCAGGGGAAATACTGCTGACTTAGAGGGCTGGTTAACCCAACATAATGGCACTCGAGTTATTTATACCATCTAACCTGCCATAACTTAAACTAGCTATGTGTTGAGATTTATTTATTTAAATCCCAAGCTGATTTAAGATTGCAACTTTCATACCATGTAAATGTATTTAACCTCGGTGGCATGTTCACATACATGATTCTGAGAAACAAATAGGCTCTATTGTGCAAACACTCCTTATAGCAGGGGTGCCCAATGTGTAGATTCCCAGGCGTCGTAGGACTACAACTCTTTGATGCTTTGCATGCATTTAGAATGACAAAGCATCATGGAAGCTGTGGTTTTAAAATATCTGTGAATGTACCATTTGGGCACCCCTGCATTATGACATTGCTAAGCAGAGACATAACTCCAGGAGCATCATGGAGCATTAAAGATACTCTGTATATGGAAGTGCTCCAGATGTGTTTCACAATTGGCTACAACACACAGCTTGCCCAAGCAAGCGCTTCAATAGCTGAAAGGCCATTTTTAGATATACCCCCAATGGAAAGAGAAAATGTATAATAACGTGTGTTTTCTTTTAGAACTAATACTACATAGACTCCACTTGCCAAATACTAGTAAATAAGTTACTATCTGAAAGAGGAGTAAACAATATTAATTCCATAATCCATTGTATTAATGAAACAAAGGGCTTATTCACTTAATGGTGAGGGATATCTTTTAGAAGGCCCTGGGATAAAGAATTAGGGAGAGGTGGTGATGGCAAGACACAAGATTGTTACATGTACAATACTAATTTCGGTTATTTCGCTATGTCAAGTCTTGGTAATAAATAGTTATAGTATCTATACCTTATAGCAGGGATAGGCACCCTTCGGCACTCCAGATGTTGAGGACTACATCCCCCATAATGCTGACAAAGCATCTTGGGAGGTGTAGCCCAAAACATCTGCAGTGCTGAAGGTTGCCTATACCTGCCTTATAGCTAACTTCATATGATCATGTTCAGTATAGAAACAAATGGTTATTAAACAGGAATTTCAGAGAATTCAGACTGCAGCCATGGAAAACTTTAGAAGCATAGGCTTAAGGAAAGCATGGGACTGTAAGTTTGGAGATCCTTGGGCCAGGAATTCTAGCAGTCTGCAAGGTCTAAAGAAGTTGGGGGCAAAATTTTCAGAAAACTTGGCTTGGAAGGCTTGGAACAGAATTGTAGAATGTTCCAATTTTAAATACCACTGCTTATTCAATGGCATTCACTGCTTTAAGGCATTACCATCACTAGGTTATGAAGAGTTAACAAAACCCCCACCCATATACATAGTATTAAAATGTGAAATTATTTACCCATACTTGAAGGTTTGCATTAAGATGGTGATAGTTGAGAGCAAATAAAAGAATTGTTTTTTTATTCCAAGTTACCCACCTAACCTCATACCGTAACACAGACACACTGCTCAGCTGGGAGAATTGGCAATGTAACTCCAAATATTAAGCCAAAATTGGCTGTTATGGGAAAATCAATTAAACTTTGCTCACATTTATTGCCCCCCTATAGTTAACATAATTGCCCTATTTCTCTGACAATTCTCAGTTTTAGTGAATAGGTGGTAATAGATATAAAGGGCACCAAAACCTTAGTTGAGAAATTGTGCATGTGCCTACTTTGTCTACAGTCTGTTTCTCAACACACCTTGAGAAGGGAAAACATATATATATATATATATATCATTTTTAAAGAAAGATCATACTCAGGAAAAAAGACAGCAATTTACTGATCTGATGTTGCTTATTGGGTGCATTGACAAAATAACAGCTCAGCAAAGCAGGTCTGTTATCTGCAAACTCCCTGAAATACTGCAAACTTTACTTTAAGACTAGCAGCAAAACAGGAAGAGGCAAATGAACACAATCTTGATGTATTTTCCTATGAAATCTTTTAAATCAGCAGGATCCTTTAAACCAAGTACACTCCAACCGTTGCAATAACGCCCGCGACGTCTAGAGGGAGCCAGAGAGCTACCAAAGGGCCCCTGCCTGAAAGACTGCACCGCTCAGCTCTACAGAATAGTACAGTTAACTCCTCGCCTGCCAGATTGCTGCACAATTATTACTTTAAAGAACAGAGTTGCAGCATGTTTATAGGTAGATATCGGTATTTATTTCCTTTGGGCCTGAAATGCCTAAATAAAACCATGATGATTTATGAATCGAACACAATCCGGTTAGTTTTTTTTGTAATTGTCCTATTTGTAGTTAACCCCCTCCCCTCTTCTAGGATTGTAAGGCGCTGCGGAATATGTTGGCGCTATGTAAATTGCAATAATAATAATAATTACTGCCACTATAAAATACAGATAGTAAATACCACAAAGAAATAAATGATCTAATTCAGAATCACTCATCATGGTCTATGTGCCCACTGTAACAGAAAAGTTTTTTTTGTTTTTTTTTATAATTATGCATATATATCTATATAGATATATATCCCCCAAATTGACGGGAGCACGCAATGGTTTTAAGAAGTGAAAAAAAGTATTCACAATCGCATGAAATGTACTTTTTTTTTTTTTCATTTCTTAAAACCATTAAGTGCTCTCGTCAATATTTGGATGTATTACATGCGCTGGGAAGCACCCTGATATCTCAATAGTCTCTCAGTTGAAGAATGCCAGAAATCACATTTTATGTATATACACACACACACACAGTATGACAGCAGGGGATATACAATGATGGCAATGCTCACTTGTCTCTGTAATTGTTCCATTCTGGGGTTAATTTACTAAACTATTAGCTTTATTCATTAAGCAGGAAATTGTTGGGACTTTTCTGAGGAATGAGTAGGTCCAGCAATTCCCAGAGCCGAGCAGGGCTACCTGCAAACACAACTACAGCGTACTGCGCTCCTGTAGAGGTTGGTGCTATAACAGCAGACCATGGACATGTTCTAGTGATCTGTACACCAACAAGGAATGAAGTATCTTCTATTGTGTGTGTTAATAGGAGAACAAACCGTGATTCACTCTGTGCTTTATGAAGAGTGTATTCTGGGACCAAAGTAGATTAATTAAAAGCATCATCCATTTCACTTTTGCACTAGCCACACCTCACATGATTTGTGAGAGATTTTATTTTCCCCTTTTAATTTATTTTACGTACCATTATATATATATTTTTTAATGTTACATAAAACTAAAGTGATCAGGCGTCTGTATACTGCAGGTCACTCTCCAAGCTTTAGTTTAAACCTTGTAAAACTTCCTATTCTGTAATTAGAATATGTTTCATAAAGCCGATACTGTATCAATAACCGCACACATGTTCAGGGTGTGATCGATATATAGATACACACTATACGAACATGGACACCGATTTGTGATGCAGACCCTTCACTAAGTACAATATACATTTTAGGTTTGATCAGTGACCTATGACTAGTAGCCCTGTGTTCTTGGCTAGCAGAGAGGGGGAGGTGCACTCCTGATCTCCCTGTGATAGCAGATTGTCTGCTGATGTGACATGTGAGAGATTAGCTGCTCTCCTCTCCCATGGCTGCTTTCAATGCAATGCTTGTGTTTTGGGTTCACTGATAGCGAGGAGCCAGGCAGCCCTTTCATGGCTGTTTGTTTAAGATCAGTCCAGGAAGATGGATTTTATGTCAAGGGCAAGGAAGGGCAGCCGCTTCAGACTAAGCGGCGCCTCCCAGACACCTGTTTAACCCAGGTTACAGCCCACAGGTGAGGCCTCCCTGCAGCACTGTTAACCCATTCCTCCCAAACCTCCACTACTTCAATCAACAGGCACCTGGGACACTTAAAGGGACGGTGATAAATCAGCTTCATAGAACTGAGGATCCCAGGGACATCCTAAAAATGATAACCTCTTTACTCTGGATAATTTCCAACTGTCACCTGGGGACAGGGGTGGTTAAAAGGCTAATTCCCCAGGAGATCTACAACACTAATGACCTTATGGTAAGGCTACAGAATCTGGGGGTTAATGTGTCCCCCTTTCTAAATATATACACAAACCCCTACCATGATTTATCCCAGATCGAATTTGGGACTGGTTACATGATATTAACCTTTATCCAAGTCTACCAATAATTCCTATACATGTTTCTATGCATTTTGACTCCTACCATTAAAGAATTCGGACAGTCATCCAGTTATAAAAGTAAAAAGCAATAAACTCATTAACTATTGAGAGCTAGGAAAGTATACACAGATCATTTTCTTCTGGGCTAGCCACGATTGAGTTATGTTGGGGTTTAATCTAGTACAGATAGTTTGGTTAAAATTCATTATCTACCCCTTGAGTGAAGATATTGCAACCAACCCATACTAGGAATTAAGGGGAGGGCGGTTAGAGGTCTAGGAAAATATATAGAGTCCCATTACAAACTAATTCAATTCTGATGGAAAGTACTTTAAGGATCAGCCAAAGTTTAATAAAGAACATTATGGTTATTTTAGACCCCCACCCTCTCCATTATCAAGAGCCCCTCTGCAGAGTTAGTTTATGGGAGAGGTGATTGCATTCAGAAGCTTATTAAAATGGAGTTGGGTAGTTGGATCCTGCTGGGTTTATTTGAAAGCCAGTTCTAAGCCAGCAGTATGAACTGTATATAATGCATGCAGAGACCACAGTTAAGGGTTAATTGAGCTTCAATCCCCAAAACAATGTTCATAGTCCACTAGACAATCATTTTCTTGTGGGTCAAAGAATGACCAGTTCTAACTATAGGGATGGCATAGGAATTTTTACAAAAAAGGAAGGACAATAGGCCATCTGGCCAAGTAAAAAGTAACCTTTACACTAGATTAAAAAAAAAAAAAAAAATCACAGCTGAATAAATAAGTCACAGGTCAATAAACACAATTTATTCTGTATAAAAAAAGCTTACAACCAAACTTTTATAAAAAGTTTAGCATGATTTAAGTACATCATTAAACATTTGCAGAAATGTTATCTCTGCCACTGTACAAGGGGGGAGGAAAAACTCAAATTAAGAGTTCAAGATATCTTATTCACTATATACACAATAGCATTCAATGCTGGATGTAAAGTATGATGATCTAAGGGGGCAGTGGTTCTGAGACTTCATACCACTTGTAACAGAATTTGATTTAGAGTGTCCAGCCATGTACCCACATATCTGTTTTATTGATCACAAAACCCCAACATCAAGAACAATCAAAAAAACACTTCTGATGGCAAACACTGAGAATCTGTGCTAGGGTAAATCTAAAATTGCCATATGTCCATGATAGCTGGGGCTTCCTTCACCTTCTCAGGAGTAGTGATCTGATGTAGATACAGTGGCAAATCCCTTGTGATACATTAATGTTCAATCCCCATGTAGGAGATAATATAGATTCAGCCTTCCCGTGTAAGAAAAGGTCAATAAAAAGTCTTTCATAAATAAACTAAAATCAGTCCAAAACAGCTTGATTTGAGAAAAATGGGATGAGAGGGGGGGCGGGTGGGAATATATATATTAAAAATAATCTGGATGCAAGTCTCTTCATAGCCACGTTGGTTCCCCCCCTTTTTTTCCTTCCACAAGCTTGCTGTACAAATTCAGCATTCATAATAAAGAGAGAAGTCTTGTAGCCATGATGTTCCAAAAAAAAAAAAAAAAAAAAGTCTGATGAACACCTGCAAGAGATTGAGAGAAGAGGAGGGTTTAGTGGAAGCGTTTGGGAGACAGCCTGGCGCCAGTGGGAAAGCCACATTGAACATTTAACCAAACACTCATTGGGGCGAACCCAGCACTCCAGATGTACAGAGAATGAATGTTAACCTCTTCACTGCCGGAAGGGAGTGTAGAAAACCAGCTTAGACCTTATTCACCCCCTCACCCACCCCCTTTATAAAAAAATTAAATCAATAGTAAACATTCCATAAAGCAATATACCTTCATTCTACATTTTATACCAATAACTATCCCAGTATTATGAACAGATTAACAGCAGTTATAATGCTACAATAAGCTAGATTTACTGATTTGCTACCAGGTTAAGAAACAGTAGTATTAAGACTATGGCCATTTGATCCAGCAAGGCAGATGTTAATAAGGAACATATGATTGGGAGGGGGGGGGAAATCTACTCTCAACTATTCTAACTGCAATGAATGTAGGCGCCAGTCTGCTGCTTGTACCAATTACTTGATTAAACGCAGCCACTTTAAAAAAAAAAAAATGAAGACAGGAGCCCAAAACACCCTCCCCTGGAACAGATCACAGCATAAAGGGTTCTTTTTGGTTTCAGTTACAGTCAATGGGCAGACATGCTAGTAGAAGGCATTGGCACGATTTGGTCCACACATTAATACTGGGGCACCTCTGGCAATCGATTAGCGCTAGCCAAATGCAGCCACATGTTCTGTGATCAGCTGGAACATACAATCGTTTAATCTACCCCTGATAAATGGTCAGTTACCCCCAGCATGCATGATCCAGAGTGAAAGAGCCATGAATAGGCTGATGTTCGAGATGAAAAAAAAAAAAAAAAAAAACACAACTCACCATTTTGCTTAAGGACAAAGAGCTTTGCTGTCATTCGTGCTAAACTCTGTTAAGTCATTCGCCTGGAATAAACAAGAGATAAGGCTGTAACTACACAGAACTAGGACAGTGATCAGATCAGCAGAGAATAAATAAAAACACAAAACTGTCAGACAGGGGTTGGAGGTGGATTGCAACCCCCATCATGCTGTCAGCCATAGTGGGAGTTGCAATGCACATGGAATAACACTGAGATCGGTCTGTACCTGCAATGACAGGATGCTGATATCTGTGTTTAGGGTTGTCAGGGGGGTCCTTGTGGAAGTGGGGCTTGCTCCCAATCTGGGGTGATGCAAGCTGACAATACTGGGGTGGGAGTCCAGGGCGATCTGCAGGTCCAGAATATAGTCGATAACATGCTGCAAGATTTCCATTTTGGAGACTTTCTTGTTCTGCGGGATGCTGGGCACCAGCTCCTTCAGCTTGGAGTAGCAGTCGTTCATGTTATAGAGCAGGCTCATGGGGTCATCCACGGGCGTTTTGCTCCTGGTTATCCCCAGATTATGTTCCGTTAGGCTGGATTTCCGCACAGATCTCACTGGGCTGAAAGCTTTCATGGCAATAAATGTCCCCAACACGATCAGATAATATGCAGAGACGGGAGAGCAACGCTTTATCCTCAGGCTGAGCTCCTCCGCCTTCCACTACCTAGCTCAGAGTGAGAGCAGCCGCGCCGCTCTCCGCTATTTATACTCCAGCGAGCGGCCACTGACAGCTAGGAGTTCTACTGCTTCTGTATTGGCTGGACACAAATGTATCCATTACAGCCCGCGCCCCGCCATTGGCTGGCAGCAAAGCTCTTAGAACGCCGAAGTCTTCCGCATTCTAAACCAATTACTGGCAGCGGTGGGCGTGGCTATCCTTCCCAGCTGTGCTAGTAAATAGCCAGCAATGGGTTCTCTGACAGAACACAGGCTGCTGGGACTGCTGTAGCTTGCTGCATGCAAACAGCATGTCTGGTACAATATTATTATTATTATTATTATTATTATTATTATTATTATTATTATTTATATAGCGCCAACAAATCCCATAGCGATGTACAATATACATTGATCCCAGCACTCAGCACCGGGTAACACACTAAATCCACGCATGCTGCCAACATACATGTTTTATCTGTGAGCGGCTGTTACAGGCTCCGATCTGCTGATTGCTCCATACACATGGACATACACAATAAAATAAGATTGCCACATTGTACAGCGCTGCGGAATATGTTAGCGCTTTATAAATAATAATCATAAAGAGAGAATGGAAGCATTTGTGGTCAGTGGGTCTGTGTTTTGTGTAAATACAATGGCATTGCATGACCCAGATTCATGACCCATTCATGTGAGCAACCAGCTGAGTGAAGGAAAAAGCATTTTCCCATTTCTAAGATCTTGAGAAGTAAAAGCAGGCAGGAGGTCGCCTTATTTCTCCTTTGCTCTGTATGAGGTTAATCTAATTCCATTTATCTCATGCCGGCACTGGAGGTTGACATTGAGTGTCTTTAAAGTGTAACAAATTGATGCGGTAATGGTACTGGTTTAGGATCCTACACACAGCTCGTAGTGGATGCATAGCTGGCTGACAGATTTACTTCTCTAACCTGGAAATGAGGATAGTAGTTTTTTGAAGAACAGCAGGGGGTACAAATGAATTGTCAAAACAGATTAGTAACAGTGGCTAACAACATGATCTCTGTATGTGGAATTAATGACTCCAGACTTACAGTGGACATTGGTATGTTTGGCAATGTAAACTTTTAGCTGGAGCAAATGAGCACATGGGGAAAGGGTTAAATACGACTAGAAAGCACATTTAACGATAGATAATTGCTCGATCTTCATCCTTTATACCTGCTGACCCAGCTGCTAGCTATATAATATGCGCTTGCATTACATACATGCTGTTCTAGATAAACAGACAGTAATACATTTTATATTGATGCAGCTCACATCATGCTAAGTCAGCATTTGGAAATGGTTCAAATCCTATAGAATGTAAGCGTGTTTGAGCTGGGTCCTCTTCAACCTATCGTTCCTGTAAGTTTTTTGTAATTGTTCTATTTATAGTTAAATCACTCCCCACCCCACCCTTATAATATTGTAAAGCGCTACAGAATCTGTATATAAATGACAATAATAATAATAATAATAATAACCCTTTCGTGATCTTTGGCCAAAAAAATGGAAACCTATCTGACCTGAGGAATGTTTCTTTTCATAAAATTTGAAATTTACTTTGCATTCCCAATAAATCACATTTTAGTGACTAACCTTGTATATTACGATCACAGTGTGAATGTTTCCTGTTTTCCCGGGAAGGGATAAGAGTGATAGATTGTCAGCTCTAAGAGCAAAGTAGGACTCACCAAAATAGATCTCACCAGTAATTATGGTAATTGAATCTGCAGGCTCCAATGTAGAGAGCTGGGAATATTGCCAGGGCTATATCCACATTATTACTCAAACTCACAAAAATGTTTGAATTAAGAAAAATGAGACATGTTATAGCATTAAGGGATAGAGGAAAATGTTTTACAGAGAGATCACCCTTCCTACCTTGAATCATAATAATTCAGTAGTATATTTGTACAATAAATATAAACATAGTTATTCACTAAAGCAGGAGTAGGCAACCTTGTAGCAGCACTGTGCCAAAATAAGACTTGACAGTCCCATGAAGTGCCAGTCACACACTATTTCAATTAGAGAATGTGTATGTTGCCATATTCTGCCTATGCTATGTATGTGTGCTGTGGCTGCTGTGAGTGTTTCTAAATATGTGTGTATGTGGGCTGTGTGTGTGTTATTGTGTATGTGCGTGAACACTTTGAAGTTTGTATAGCTGTATGTTGTTTTGCGTGTAGTGTTGTGTGTATGTGTTGAGGGGTTGTTTGTGAGGTTGTGTTTGTATTTGTGGACTGTCAGTGCTGTTGTTAGTAGGGGAGTTGCCTGTAAAGCTGTGTGTGTTTTTTGTGTGGGCTGTTTGCAGTATAAATATGGAGGGGAGGTGTCTTGCAGGCTGGTTGTATATATGTCTCACACACACTTAGACAAAGATGGCATGGGCTACTGACAGTGGTGTATCCTGGCTTTGTGCTGCCCTAGGCTTAATTGGATTATTTTTCTCCATATAACTTATTTTGGTTTTACTGTAAGGAAAGTAAATAACACTGAATGCGTTTTAAAATGCTGTATGTATTAAAACTCTTTTTAAGTGTTTATACTCCTTTTTTTTCATATAAAAAATTTAATAGCTATATACTGAAATAAAATGCATTTTGTTTTCAATTTTCTACAATTCCAGGATTAGTAAATACCAATCTCTGCTAGTGAGGAGGACTTATAGTTCAAAGAGAATGTATACTAATCGGTGCAGAGAACCAATCTTTAGTTTCTGGCTGGGCAACAGTATGATATTCTGATCTTTATTCTAATTTTGATATTGTTGACGTTAAAGGGTCCGTGACCTCAACAACACACCTACTGTTCAAAGATGATCCCCTTTATTATAATTAACACATATCAGTAGCTAAGTAAAAGCCTCTCAGTGTCTCCTGATTTACGGATCAGGTAACGGCGTAACGCTGCTCAAGAACGCTCTAAGAAGAAGTGAAAATATTTGCACAGTCGTTCCCATATGACTTCATCGCAAATCCCAGTTTACTTTTAAAACCAGCTTTTCTTTCCTGCAGCATTTGAATACTGCATACGGGAAGACATCTGAGGGTGGTTGGTGAATTTTGAAGGTAGTGGGGTACTAGATTCTACCCCCAAATTTTGACTCTGCTCCTTGACTTATAACTCTGCCCATTTCTCCCTAACCCAATGCTAAAACCTAGAGATAAACTGATGATTATTGTTACCCAATAACAGCCCCTAGAAGGCAGGGCAATACTTAGGCCTGTCTATTAGGGCATCCATGATCTGCTGGCCAGAGCCAAACCGGTGAATGCTATCAGGCATCCTGCAGAACAGACTAGCATGTCTGATAGGTCTATATTCATTTTTTTTTGGGGGGGAGGGGGTTGGGGGGAGAGTTCTAATATTAACTCTATTGGAAGACTAATTATGATAGAACCAAGGTGTTTGTTTTTTTTGGAACATACATTTGTCATGTGTATTTTACTTTTTCATTGCAATAAAAACTTGGTGATGGTTGGTAAGGGGTGGGGGATGATAGAATTGCTCCACATGCCTCAATGGATTGGCTTCCACTAGAGGCATCACTTTTCAGGTACTACCCATCGCTTTGTATAATGGTATGTGTACAGTAAGTCGCGGTGGATCTTTCTTCTTTCAGCCTTACTTCAGTCTGTGTTTTATGGTTTATGTACACCTGTATGTTTTTTCAGTTTCAGAACATATAACAGATTTTTTTTTTATGATTCTCCCTTCTTCAATAAAACCATCTATAAAGAGCGATTTTGCAGGTGTGTGTTTACAGTATGCTCAGATCAGAGCTAATGTCAGGTGTTTGCAAATGACCTTTGAGTAAGGAGTGTTAACAAACAAAGAAAAAAAGGTTTTGGCAGTTCATTCTCCCTAGGGAAAAAAAACTGCTTCAAGGTATTGATAAATCGTGTTCCTTTCCATTGACTGAATTGTGACATAATTTTAATATGTAGGCAATGTTACCTATTTGGAATTTGCCGGGTATTCTGGAGAATTGACAAAGTAATTGCAAATAGTAGACAGAATTAAAAGATTTCTCTAAAATGTACAATTCTATTGGCAATCCTTCACCATTCATGGCTTAGTGAAAAAACTCCAAACCCCATTGGGAGACATTTCTGAATCAAAGATTAATTTATCCCATTTGCCAAATTCCACTATAAAGTGGATACATCCTTCAGATTTCATTTACACGTAGACAAACATTTGTTTGATTTCTTTTTTATTTCATTCAAAGATTTTTAAACTTTGTCCAACATTTTAAAATGTCACTTAAAACTCACAACAGTTCATCTTTTAGTAAAAAAAAAAAAAAATCAATAAAAAAAATCTGTATTTAGCTAAATGCAAAAAATTATTTTGGTTGATTACAAAACTTTGGCACTGAAAATGTTAATACAATCGTCTGCCATCGTACTCCGTGATGCTGGGAATATAACTAATTTGAATAAAGACATAGTCACAGTGAACATATGTGGAGTGGATTTATCCTAATCTATTACTTTGACGGTTAATCGTGTTATGGCGAATAAATGAATGTTATAGATGTTTCCAATTTGCAGCCTTTTACCGGTTAAATTATTTGCTGTCTTTGCGGGTTTCTTTAGCAGCTAAGAGTTTAAATATGATATATTGTTATCGTTTATTTGTAAAACACACTGACAGATGCTGGGGTGTTGTACAGTTTTTATTTGTGACATGCTGAATGAGACAGACTGAGCAGAAACCCTTTGCACTGGAATACGCCATCTGGAGACACGGTTTAAGTACGGTTTATAATCCAATAGGTGTACTTACACACATATAGTGTGTGCACATAGCTATACACTGGGACGAGCAGGGGCTACAGTGAAATCTAGATGTGAGAGTTATGGTTGATTCAAAGTTAATAATGTATGCATACAGACATTAAATATTAATGCAAAGTATTTACGGGTTTAATGTAAATAAATCTGGAGGCCATGCCAACTCCTATGGTTTTGCACCACTCCCTGTTACAGGTGCCTCATGCCAGGTCCCTATTTAACCTTGCATTGCAGAGAGT